CTCTAGAATCCAAGGGTCTTAAGCAGGGATGTAATGTCATGGCTAGGGGTTATGGTTGGGAAACAATTTGAAAATTTTGGTGGCGATTCCTAAGTGAAGCGTAAGAGTGGCCATCTCTCAAGAACATCCTAAGAATTGAACCTATTATCAAACTTACAACCTTTCAAAACAAACCACACCACATTTCTTCAATATTTTTCTTTTTTTTTCTCTTTTTTTTTTGCTTGGTTTTCATGAGTTTTAAATTTCTTGCCAAACCTTTTTGCGTACTCTTTTCATGAATAATCTTTCAAAACCTTATTTGAACCAAATTACACAACTTTCTTGCTCAATTTCAACATCATCAAACTCGAACCTCACAAGCCAATGCTTCACTAATTACAAGGGTTGGTAGAACATAGGCCGATAGGTTTGTACTATGGCTAAGTCAAGAAAGGGGAAATAAGGCTCAAATTGGTTAGCAAGAGGGTGAATGTAAAAATGAAAACCAAATTTGTAATAAAACACAAAGAAAATAAAGAGAAATGAGAAGAAATTCCCTCTTCCTCCTCTAGAGATATATGGTCATGATCTTGGGAGCTAGACGCCAACACAAAGATTAAGACATGCATAGTTAAGGATCCTAAATTCCGCTCACAAGAATGATGAAGGCTAGAACAAATGACGCTCACACGGGATAAGAAATGTAGCAAATACTAACCAAGGGAATCCAATCCACCATAGAGAGCAACACCATCTTACCACTTTCCCGTGAACTAGGGGTTCAACCGTCCTCAAAAGTTCTAAACCGGGCTACCGTAGCTTACAATGTGTCTAATTCAACCCAAAGCATTCTCAAACCGTGTAAACCCTCAACAAATAGGAATATAAGAATTCAAAGACACATCGAGGCAAACCAATCCAAAAGAGTGAGCAAATTACACATCAAAAATCATTTCAAATTGTCATAATTATGCTTGTAACACAAAAAGGGGAAAACAAAACAAAAGAAAGAGAAAGAAATAAAAAAGGTTCACATACGAGGCATATAATTCAATTAAATCCCAATCGTCATACAAGTGATCGTTCGATAACAACATCAACGATCCAAGGTTCCAAAGAACCAAAAGCAAACATCCTCGAACCATTCAACTTCTTCCTAAGCTAAACCTAAGCTAAACACCCAAAGAAAAAGAAAATAAAAGAGAGGAAAGGTCTCACCAAATGCCTCTTAAAATGGAAGACAAGATAATTCATACAATCTCACCAAGGGAGCTTGTGTTGCTCCTTAACTTCCTTCGTTTCCGCTTTCAAGCTTCAAGAAAGGTGAGCCAAAACAAAAGAAACTATGACAAAACAAGAAAAAGAAAAAAAATTTAGAAACCAAAGAAAAAGACTAAAGTTATAGATAAAAAGAAAAATAAATAAAAAGTTATGTACAAAGTTTTGATTAAGGGAATTTGGATTGTCGGGAATTTTGGATTTTTCCTTCGGAGCATCTTCGCCTACACAAAGCTCAAGAATCATCAAAAATCAGCAAAAAACATCATAAAAACATCATCAAAACATCACCATCATCACCATCATATCATCGTCATCATCATCACATCACCATCACAACATCATCAACTACAACAAGGCCACAACCCTCAATAGTCTTCCTCATGTACAAGCCACTACCCTACCACACTACCCTCTAGCCACTACCTTACCAAACTACCCTCCTATGTACACTTCAACCAACCCAAAAGGAACATCCTCCCCCACACTAGTCTTTTGCACGTCCCGAGAAAAAGTTAAAAGTTAGAAGTTTCGGGGGGAAGGAAGGGAACCCTCATCATGGGCTCCTTTCTCCTTGCCCTCTAGGTTGAGGGGGGTTCTCAAAATCGAACCCGGGAGTGTCCATAAATGGGTGGAAGGGTTGGTTAAAATGCTCATAGGGCCACCCCTGGTCACCCTAACCACCATAAAAAGGGTTTGGGGTGGATGTGCGAGTCAAATCATAAGTCGGATCACACCCACCCGGGCGATAAGGATCATAAGGTGGGGTGCCAATGCGTTGAGAAGGGTCGATGGGACCTTCCCAATAGGGGTAGACATTGGGGGTAGGGTTGTTGGGGTCATAGGGGTCCCAATGTGGAACCGGACCCTCTTGAGGGGGGTGGTAGGGGTAGTTAACATAGGGCGCTTGGATGCCCGCTTGTACAAGGTTATCATAATTCATCCTCCCGTAGTACCCCCATTGTTCAATGGAAGCTTGGTTATCCCGACGAATATCCTGAAGGGTACTATGGAGGGCATTCATATCAAAAGGAGGAAAGGAGGAAGAGGAAGATGCCTCACCTCCCCCGCTAAGGGGGGGAACGGTTTACTCCTGGCAGTGGACCGGTGGAGGATGAGGAACTGCACCCCGGGATCTTGTTCTTCTTAATTCACCGGGGATGTGCTGCCGAGGGATCTTCCATTTGAGAGGAGAGGAGTGGTCCACCGTAGTGAGGGATGGGTCCGGAAGGACACACCATTCAACCTCTTTGTCCACTAAGAGGATGAATTTGCGCTTGCTTGTGGAGTAGTTGATGAAGCGGTTGTGACGGAGAGCACTAAGGGAGAGAGAATAGGGAGGAAACACGTTGGTGACTTCCTCTCGGGTTTGGTGCACAAAGGGGAGCATTTCTATTTGCTCCTTGTAAGCTCCGTCTTTCAAAGAAAGAGCAATGATAGTGATCATGCCCCCCATAAAAATGTCGTCACCAAGACGGTTGTCTCGAGTATCCAAAAGCCTTTGGATGAAGGTGGAAGAGCATTGGAACTTGAGGCGCTGAGGGTTGTCGACCAAAAATACACGCTACCTCATCCTTAACCATTGAGCCGAGGTTTGCTTTGAAGAACACGACATATTGGAGAAGCCGAGCAAAATATCTCATGGCTATGTGGATGATGTTGTTGACCTTAGATGTGTTAGTTCGAAAACTATCCCTGGTGGATATACTCCTCCACCATTCTTGCTCGTTGTAGGGGATGCGATGAGTGGAAGTCATCTCGCAAGGATGATCTAGCCCGGTCGCATGCCAATGGAAAATATCGTTTAGATCACTCTCGGTGAGGGAGTGATCCTCATTGAACATGCGAAAATGTATCACAAGTTGAGGTTCCTCATCGTTGAACTCCGGCTCTATGACTTCCTTACGGATAGAGGCAAGGAATTCCAAAGTCACTCGCTCATAGGTGTGAGTGAAGGTAGATGAATTCACCCCATCCAAAATTTTGTGCTAACCGGACTACCTCATCCAATATACCGAGCTTTTGCAACGTTGTAGGACAAAAGAACCTTGTTGAAAGGATGGGACGATTGGTGAGGGCTTTGTAGACGTCCCAAAAGTGCTCATTCGGAGCAATTATGCTATGATCATTTATGCCGGGAGGAGGCGGTAAACTCGTTGATGAAGATTCACCCACTCTCTTCCTCTTTGACTTGCTCTTGCCGAAAATCATGATTCTACAAAATTACCAAGAGCTATTATTAGGAAATTTTGATAAGAGATGTCATAAGAATCTAGCTACGGTAAAAGTGTATGCGTGAAATTAGTTGCCTTGAGTTGTGAAATAGATATAGAGGATGACAACAATACAATTCAAGGCATAAATGGACACATTTAAACCAAGGCATGGGCAAGAAACCCTATGACATTCATATATAAGTCCTAACCAAGTCTAGGTGAATTTTGGCATGATGTCTCCTAATTACGTGATAATCATTCACCAAACCATCAAAATCAAACCAAAAACAACAAGAATCATTCTCCAACAACATCCAATTCATGAATTCCTCAATCATCAAATAGTAGCATGAACACCCTAGCATGAAATCAACATTTTTAAGCAAAGACATTGAGATCAAACAAAACCAAGGTATACATGCACAATCATAATAACAACATGTTCTACTATCAATTACCAATCAATTGCAACATGTAAATCCAAAGAACCACAAGAATCAAGCAAGTTATTACTAACAATTCAAGAATACCACAATTCATATTTAAACATGCAAAACATGGTATGACTATGAGAAATTAAAGAAATGAATTTGCAAAAGTTAAGAAAACCATACCACAATTGATTGTAAGTAAGTAGAAACCCAAAAACACCAAAACACTCAAACCCTAAAAATTGGGGGAAATGAAAAAAAAATGTGATTTTTGTGAGGAATTTTTGGTGGAGATTGTAGAAATGGAGTAGAGGATGGAAAATAAGTGAGAAAAAGAGAAGATTGGAGTGATTTTGATGGAGGTTTTAGGTTGTAGGAGTGGATTGCAATGGAGGTTAGAGTGAGAAGGAGGTCGAATGAAATGAATTAGAAAAGAAGAGCAGCCCCCTTTTTTTTTTGAAAATTCGACAAAGGTTCGGCCGAACCATGGGTAAGTTCGGTCGAACTCTTGAAATGGTTCGGCCGAACTTGCTCAAGGTTCGGTCGAACCTTCTCTCTAACTTGAAATTCACAAAAATGGCAGAAAGTTTTCAAGTTTTAGTTCCAGAGCAGGTGCGACCGAACACAGCAATGTTTGGGCGAACTAAGGTTCGGTCGAACCTCTCCAAGGTTTGGTCGAACCTACTCTATAATATTAATTTCTGCAATTCTGGCAGAAAGTTTTCAACTTGAGGTTCCAGAGGAGGTGCGACCAAACTGAAGAAGGTTCGGGAAAACCTTTCAAAAGGTTCGACCGAACCTTTAGGGAGTTCGGTCGAACCACCAAGTTATTTCAAAAAATGCCCATTTTGCAACACAATATGCACAAACACCCCTATTCAAAACACACTAAACACTATACCATCATGCTAAGGCAAAGCATACCAAAAATTCCAACACAATCAAAATTCAAAAATCCAACAATCCAACATTGTATATAGGAAAATAACAAAGCATCAAGAAAGGAGGAAAGAGAAAAGGGTAAGAGACTCGGGTTGCCTCCCGAGAAGCGCTTCTTTATGAGGTCACTAGCTTGACCATGAGAGAAAATTCTTCAAGTGGGAGGCTTGGGATCCAAAGGATCAAGCATTATACATTCGATGATACAAACTTCTTCCTTGCAAAAGTAATTCTTTAAACGATGACCATTAACCATAAACTTGTTACCATCCGCATCTAACTCAAAATAGCCATAAGGAGTAGTCTTTTATATCACAAAAGGACCCGACCACTTTGATTTGAGTTTACCCGGAAACAAACGAAGCCTTGAGTTGAAAAGCAAAACCTTGTCTCCAATCTTAAAGTTCTTGTTTCGAATATGTTGGTCATGCCACTTTTTGGTCTTCTCTTTATATAACCTTGACCTCTCATAAGCATCATCTCTAAGCTCTTCAAGTTCATTGAGCTTAAGAAATCTCTTCTCACCGGCCAACGATAAATCCATATTGAGCTCTTTGATGGCCCACCAACCTTGTATTCTAAATCAACCGGCAAGTGATAAGCCTTTCCATAGACCAACCTATAGGGGGGCGTGCTGATTGGAGTCTTGTACGCCATCCTAAGAGCCCATAGTGTGTCATCAAGTTTGAGAGACCAATCTTTCCTTGATTTGTTCACCATCCTTTAAAGAAGATTTTTTATTTCACGATTCAAGACCTCCACTTGTCCTTCAGTTTGAGGGTGGTAAGGTAATCCAACCTTGTGATGAACACCATACCTCTTGAGAAGAGCTTTAAATTGCTTTTTGGCGAAATGGGAGCCTCCATCACTAATTAGCACCCTCGGAACTCCAAACCTAGGAAAAATGATCTTCTTTAGAATCTTAAGCACAACCTTGTGATCATTGGTAGGTGAGGGTATGGCTTCAATCCATTTCGTCACATAATCGACCGCTATCAAGATATATAGATTCCCACAAGAAGAAACGAAAGGCCCCATAAAATCCACCCCCCAAACATCGAAGGGTTCAACTTCTAAAACACTTTCTTGGGGCATTTCGTCCCTCTTGATAATGCCTCCGCTCCTTTGACATCTATCACATTGCGCAATGAATTGGTGGGCTTCTCTATGCATTGTCGGCCACCACTATAAAGATTGAGAGATTTTTGCCACTGTTTTGTCAACACCACCATGTCCTCCACATGGTAGTGAGTGGCAATGCTCAAGAACTCCTTGAATTTCATGATCTGGAATACACTTCCGATAGAGTCCATCTCCATATTGCTTGAATAGGTATGGGTCATTCTAAAAGTACCTTCTCACTTCCTTGAAAAACTTCTTCTTTTGTTGAGAAGAATACTCCGGGGGAACGACTCCACACGCAAGATAGTTGGCTATATCCGCGTAGCAAGGGGAAGAAGTTGACACCAAAGCCATGAGAGCCTCGAATCCTATCTCATCATTAATCGGTACATCCTCCTTGTTCTCAAATTGTAGCCTAGACAAATGTTCTGCTACATAGTTCTCCGCTCCCTTTTTGTCCCTCATTTCCATGTGAAAGTCTTGGAGAAAGAGAACCCAACGGATCAAGCGAGGATTTGCTTCTTTCTTGGTCATGAGATACCGCACCGCGATGTGATCCGTGTACACAATAACTTTTGAGCATATAAGATAGGACCAAAACTTATCGAATGCAAACACTACCTCTAACATCTCTTTCTTCGTTGTTGTGTAATAGATGACACATGATTTTCCTTGTTTCTTTTGACCAAGAATGGCACCTACTGCAAAGTCACTAGCATCGCACATTAGCTCAAAAGGCAAGCTCTAATCCGGAGCTTGCACAACGGAAGAAGAAATGAGAGCTTCCTTGAGCTTACGAAACGCCTCAAGGCAAGCCTCATTGAAGTTAAAAACAACCTCTTTTTTGAGTAATTCGGTCAAAGGTTTGGCGATTGAAGAAAAATCTTTGATAAACCTCCAGTAAAAACCGGCAAGCCCAAGAAAAGCCCATACCCCCGTGATGAAAATAGGAGGGGGCAACTTTTCAATCACCGAAACCTTGGCCGGATCAACCTCAATGCCATTTTTTGAAACCTTATGGCCGAGGACAATGCCCTCCTCGACCATAAAATGGCACTTTTCCCAATTCAAAACCAAACTCGTCTCTTGACACCTTTTCAAAACTTTTTAAAAGGTTAAAAAGATAAGTGTCAAAAGACGAGCCACCAACACTAAAATCATCCATGAAAACTTCAATTTCTTTTTCAAGCATCTCAGAGAAAATGGAAGTCATGCATCTTTGAAAAGTAGAGGAAGCATTGCATAATCCAAATGGCATTCTTTGGTATGCAAATGTCCCATATGGACATGTGAAAGTAGTTTTCTCTTGATCACTTGGATGGATAGGGATTTGGAAAAATCCGGAATACCCATCCAAGAAATAAAAGAAAGCATGGTTAGAAAGCCTTTCAAGCATTTGTTCCATGAAAGGGAGAGGAAAATGATCTTTCTTGGTGTTTTTGTTCAATCTCCTATAATCAATGCACATTCTCCACCTGGTCACCGTCCGGGTGGAGATTTCCTCTCCCTTTTCATCCTTGATTATGGTCATTCCACCCTTCTTTGGAACTACATGAACCGAGCTAACCCGTTTGCTATCGGAGATAGCATAGATGATACCCGCCTCACGTAGTTTTAAAATTTCTTTCTTCACAACCTCTTGAAGGTTGGGGTTCAACCTTCTTTGAGGTTCAATGGAGGTGGAATGATCATCTTCAAGATGAATACGATGCATGCATAAAGAAGGGATAATACCTTTGATATCATCAATGCTATACCCTATCACATCCCTATATTTTCTTAAAACATTAAGAAGTTTTTCCAAATTAAGACCATCTAGGGTAGCATTTACAATAATAAGGTATTTTCCCTCCTTATCAAGAAAAGCATATTTCAAAGAAGGGGGAAGGGGCTTGAGTTCTACCTTGGGAGGAGGCTTAGAACTCTCCTCCAATTTCTCTTCCTTGGACTCCAGCTCGATCTCAACTTGTTGTTCAACTTCCTCCTTTGAGGATTCCTCCATTGCCATGAAAAATTCTTTAGCCTCTTGAGAGTGGAACTCTTCTTTGCATGTAAGGGCTTCTATCATTGGATCTTGAGGCTTCATCACGACCCTCCCCAAGCGATCTAGCTCTTCATTCACAACATCAACTCTATAGCATTTTTTATCGGCCACTTCACATGTGATGGTGTTGTTTTAGCAATTGATGACCGCCCCCAAAGTTTTAAGAGCTTCACGTCCCAATATCAAAGGAGTGTTAACATCTTCCTCCATATCCATCACTACAAAGTCACAAGGCACGTAGATGTGTCCCACTTGAATTGGAACATCCTCAAGCTCTCCACAAGGTAATTTCACCGATCGATCGGCCAATTGAATTGTCTTCCTTGTAGGGATAATCTCTATATTGAGTTTTTTAGCAATGGATAGAGGGATTAAACTAACACTTGCTCCAAGATCGGCTAAGGCACCCCTAGCTTCCATGTTCCCAATTTTCACCGGCAAAGTGAAACTTCCCGGGTCTTTTTCCTTCTTGGGCATCTTATGTTGGAAAAGAGCAATCACTTGATGTGGAAGGGTAATAAGCTCATCATTGAGCTTCCTCTTGTTGGTGAGAATATCTTTGAGGAACTTGGAGTAATATGGCATTTGTGTCACAACTTCAAGAAAAGGGAGGTTGATATGCAAATTCTTCATGACACTAATAAGAAATTTTGTAAACTTTTCATTCAACTTCCTCTCCGCTAGCCGACCGGGAAAAGGAACCGGTCCATCAAGATTCCTAGCCTCACTAGGAATTGAAGTTTTCTTCTCATTGTCAAGCTTCTTCTTCTCCGAACCTTCTTCTATCTCATCACTCTTTTCTTTCTCACCTCCCTTGTTTTCATTCACACTCTCCTCTCCTCCCTTCTTTTCCTCACTATCCCCTTCATTTGGCCCTTCATAGGAAGCTCCCGACCTCAATGTGATCGCCTTGCATGTATCGAGTTTTGGATTGTGAGATGGGTTAGGTTGTGGTTGTCTGGGTAGAGTGGATGGTGAATTGAAAGGAGTTCTCTCGGCCAATTGAGCTAGTTGTGAATCAACCATCTTGTTGTGAGCTCTTATCTCTTGAATTTGTTGCCCAAAAAGTTGCATCTGCGCATGCATGGCTTGGAGGAGTTGAGTTTGAGTTAGCTCCGCTTGAGGTGCTTATTCTTTATGATTTATTTGAGGTGCTTGGGTTTGATTGTTGTATTGGTTGTCCTTGGATAACTTCCTCTTGGGTTTTGGGGTTGAGATGGAGGTGGATTTTGATATTGAGGGTTGGAGTTATAGGAAGGTTGAGCTTGTTGGTTCCATTGTTGAGGTTGAGTTACAAATCCGGGTGGTGGTTGTCTCCAAGCTACTCCACCGCCGCTTCCTCTAAATCCCGCTTGCCTTGTGTTGTATGCCGCTACATGTTCGGGGCTTAAACCTCCACAATCTATATTCTCTCTCTAGATTAAAACTTGAGCAAAGTTGAATACAATAAAGGATGCTTGAATAACAATCTATATTCTCTCTCTAGATTAGGCTAATGTTCTCCAAATTAAAACTAAGTTAATCCAAATTACATCAAAACGTTCTAAAAATGGGACTTATATAGTCCGTACAGAGCCAGCTGAAATAGAGGAGTGGTGCGACCGAACACTAGGTAGGTTCGGCCGGACTACAGGGTAGGTTCGGTCGAACCTCCCTGATCCTGGTCTGGTCGAAGTTCTGAGGTTCGACCACTCCTTCAAAATTGCTAAATTTCTTCTTAACCCTACCTCGACGTTCGGCCAAACCACTGAGCAGGTTCGGCCACTCCCTGGTTCGTCCACACCTTCAGGAGGTTCGGCCGAACCTCTTCTGAATCTTGTTTCCTTCAGCTTCCCTTGAGCTTAGCTTCCTCCTCTTGAAAACCCCGATGGTTCCTACAAAGCATAAGCATGGAAATAAAAATAAAAACAAAGAGAGAAGACTAAGAAAAGGGAAGATAAAGGAGAAAAGAAAAGACAAAGCAAAACTAAGTGAAAATGCTTAGAAAAAGGGCCAAACAAGTGCAAATGAGGGGAGAATCCTTAGAGAAAAAGGATAAAAGAGTGGCATAAATGTCACTCATCAGCTACTCTTATTCTGAAGAACTAACAAGAAATCTAATACAATCAATTTAATCACAAACCAAGCATCAACACTTCTCCCAAGTTTACTTAATTTACTATTAGGTTGAGTTTCACCCAACCCCTATCAAAGAGGAATACTCACAACTCATTTTGATATCATGCAAACCAAGATTAGGGTTCTAACTAGTTAAATAATTGGGGGAAAGTGATTAACTAATGATAAAACTAACATTTAACAACAAATAATCAAGATCTAAAAAGATTAAGGTGACATGCAATAATAAAAATAAAATCAGAAAATGAGTAGAGAATAGT